TTAAGAGGTTAGTGTTAAAACTGGTCGGCCTGGTGTCACGATATTGTCTGCGGCATGATGCCACAGTGCAATGCTAGACATCACTCTAAACTGCCACACAACCTCGGAGCGATATGACTGAAACATTTTTTAAACTACTTTAAAAATCCAAATCTCTCTCTCTCTCTCTCTCTCTCTCTCTCTCACACACACACACACACACACACACACACACACACACACACACACATACACACACTCGTCCGTACATCTCTTCGTCCGTTTACTCTTCTAACCACCATGGCTTTTACAAATAATTTGATCCTATTTGACTTGCGAATTCCCCATCGCACATACATCTGCCCTTTAAAGTCCACGTGTGTTGGTGTTATTTAACCTTTATCTACCACACTCAAATATCTGCTACAAGATATCTCTGTAAGCAGGAGAGTTCCAAAATCAGTTTATTCAGATTGAATTTGGCGTGTACTTTGTTCAGTGGATCTAGATACACGATAATGATTGTTGTTGTTGTTGTTGTTATAGGGTTTAACGCCATTTTTCAGCACAATAAAAGCTATACATGGCAGCTAGTATTAATGGTGAAAGAAGAACCCTGGAAAACCCCTGGAAGAACCACCGTCCCACGAGAAGCTGCTGGCATGCTTTCTCACTTACCTACGTTAGCCGAGTCTGGACTCGAACTCACGCAGACAGAAGTGAGATGGCAGTGATACATAACGGTCAGCCCTTTAGACCACTCGGCCACTCGGGGCCCCTGCACCGATAATAAACCCTGCACCGATAATAAGCAGAGTGTTGTCAACTTTATGTTGGACAGAGTTATTGTCCATTAAATTTAATTTAATATCTTTAACACCTCATGTAATATGGAACTATATTTGTTTTCCATGGGTTCATTCTCGTCTATCCTATTTTGGAAATAGTTATGACCCTTGTCGATCAGCTTCAAAATCTTTACATGGTTTGTTGTCTGTACTCAGTATAGATTAACAACCATTAAACATATTTTCATTCAACTTTGTAAATATATTGTCTCACAGACTTTGATGCGCCCATTAATAGTTTTGTCTATTATACTTTGTTTAGGGCACAGTACTGACCCTCGCCATCATCTTCATTTTTTTTGTATACCGGATGTTGTTACACCGGATGTTGTTACACTGGATGTTGTTTGTAATCAGCACAGCTAAATAAACATTCAACACATGAAGAAAAAAAATAGAGCAGTACTATAGTTGCATAGACTTGAATGTGCCTTCATGAGTTTCATCTTGCCAAACCCTTTTGGTACAGAGTTATTTCCCTTGTCAATTAAATTCATAATTTTACATGGAATGCCGGTAGTAAGCAATATCATATCACAGGAACGATTGTACATTTTTATGCAATTTGATGTCACTATTGTGTCAGGAACACATATGTGCCATTTATGAGATACAAAGCTCTATTTCGTTTCAACATAATGTCATACGTGACGATGACCTTTCCAATCAGTTAAAAAATATCAACCGGTGTACCATTCATATGGGTAAACAATATTCACTCCAAATGGATGAGATCAACATCTCGTTGCTTTTTTTGTTTGTTTGTTTGTACCACTTTCTCTGTCCCGTGGTTGTTATTTTGGTTTTGGCCGTACTTAGTAATACGACTCTCTCTCTCTCTCTCTCTCTCTCTCTCTCTCTCTCTCTCTCTCTCTCTCTCTCTCTCTCTCTCTCTCTCTCTCTCTCTCTCTCTCTCTATATATATATATATATATATATATATATATATATATAGTTATTTTTCTGACGAGCATAATTAGTTTGCAAAACAAATATGGCAATCTTATTCTTAATATTTGTTTTTCAGCAAATTAAAGAGCTGAATCATTCCAACATATGTATAGAGTAAGAGATTAAATTTATAATAATATAGACAAGTTACTTTGGAAACACTTCGGACTGAAATAATATGTCTCTCTACTATCTTAGTGACCTGAAACAAATCAAGCCTGTGTAAATATTATAGATTCAAGCATATATACGTGCAAGGTGGGCCCAGCCATTTTTTTTTTGCCAAGCAACTAGTGTATATTCTGTTGTCAACAAAATTATTAATTTACAACACAGGTGTCACAAAACCTTTTCAATAACTAAGAACGTTTGAAATACAGGACAAATCCAAATCAGTAAAGTCAAGACTTAGTACTGATGTGCAAAATTCCTGTGTTTTCTGTGCTTGTCAGATTTGTGGCTGAAAATACTAGGGTTCTAATCTTAGCATTGTATCAGCCTTAGTCGGTTACTATCGTGAGTCCTTGGGCAAAGCACATTATCCAAGTTGCCTCTACAACAAATAACCTTCTCCCTTTTCTTTACCGTAAAATCCCAAACACACAAATACCTTAATATTTGTAGGCTATATATATATAGCCTACAAAATTATATATATATATATATATATATATATATATATATATATATATATATATATATATATATATATATATAATTAGTTTGCAATAATGGACCGTGATCAGTTCGATGAGTATTCTTCATAAGTCTTAAAATTCTGTCAAGGGGCATAATAGATAATCAAACAAAACTCAATGTCCTATAGTTGTGCATGTCACAGATAAATTTAAAATGAAATATATGCTGTTATTTTTAAAGAAAGAAAAACAAATTGATAAATATATGATTCTTTGTTTTTCAAACAAGGACGGAAATGTTACAAAAAGTGGAGCCATGTTTATATACTATAAAATAGCAAGTAAATCGAAAAGACAGTGACATTTTTGAGATAATTGTGTATATAAGCTATAAAAATATACCAATAAACAAACTCACCTGAGTAGCATAAACTATTTAATTTTTAAAAAAAAATAATGACTTGGAAAATATAGGCTTCACAGGGCTACATCAATTTGTTTTTATACCAGGAGAAAAATTATTATGACATTCGCATCTACTCGGGCTGCTAAATGTGTTCCGATTGCATAGCTCTCACGTTGATGTGTTTATGATCTTACCACTTACTGGGACAAGAGAAGAAATAGGCAGAACATGACGCCATTTTTTGTTGTGGGAATCTATGACAAACTGTGTATGCTAATTATTTCGTTGAATTGACTTAATCTGATCGTAGATACTATCTCTCATAGCGGTCTTTGTCTTGAAAATATCCACTTTGGTTTCAGATTTATGCAATTTGTTTCCAAACTGAAATTGTGGTTTTTGATAAAATAGGAAAACACCCACCGTTATTAGCCGATCTTATGTATCCTCTATTCGCCCATTAGGGCAGAATTTTAACTTTGATGAAGACATCGGTGAATTTGTTTTGTCAGTTTTCTTTTCCTTTAGTTTGTCATCGTTTTTGGATATATTAACGCCTCAATATTTACAAAGAAGATAGCCTTTTAACATATTAAAACAATTTAAAGTAAAGCAGATCCCGAAGCGATTTATAACAATATGTATATTGTTGTTTATCTCTCTAAAATTGATTTTGTCATTTGTAAATTGGAATTTGTTCAAAATCCTGGGTTTTGTAATTGCTCTGCACAGTGACGTCCAGACAGTGGAACTGTTGCGATCATGGCTCATCATCTATCTCTAAAGAAAGTTTTGCCCCTTTGTCTTCTTCTTCCCAATTTTACTGTATTGTCGCACTGCTGTAGATTGTTGATCAACGCTTCTACATTGATATATGTGATAACTCCGGTTTAAAGGAGTCACTGGATTACTGCAGATGTTATTGTTTTAAATTACACTACCCACCTTCAGGACACCAGTCGGTAAGAAAGGACACCATCACTACCAATAGTATAGTCTTGTTTCACTTTTAAATATGTTATGCATTACTGCGATTTTACTATAATGTTTACGCTTGTGTCGTAACCTTGCTATCTTAAAATTAATATCTCCATTAACTTTTTGACATAGCCTTATACGATAGAAACAGACTGTGTGCTAAGTCTTGTGTAATATGCTAATAACAACAACAAAAAAAACCCATTTGTTTTGATTCAGTCTAGCTATTACTTCATCGGGTGCTATCAAGCAGAAGCAGGTCCAGACAGTATGCTTTTCTTTGCCTGCCACTGAATTTATTTCTTCAACTTACATTTGTCCTACATTACTAATAAGTACCCCCAGCAAAGTTATATTTCGTTTGTAAGAAGGCAACACAACAGCAGTTGCAGGCTCCACAATAACTTTATGTACTGATTTATGCTGTCGAACACACTATTGATGAAGTATTGCCCCCCTTGAGGTGTCTCCCAGGTTGATGTGGTGTTATTTTAATATTATAACAGATCAATGTTTTGCTTATCTAAGCAGACGTTATTTGATTTTAATGAATAATTGAAGGAATAAAGTGTTTTGTAATCATAGAGAAGTTTTTGCATCTGGAAATAAATATGGAATATACTAATTTACCTCATCTAATGATGCCAGTATGGTTTACAACACTTACATGTTGCCATTCTATCTACTTTGGGTGATTCTGCGAAAGTCTCATAGTACACCGTGATCTGCACATTTTCATAGTCATTAAGGACAAATTGTAAAGCGTTCTTATGAAAAATAATGAAAGTGAAAAATTGAGTTTCAGTGTATTAAAGTTTCATCTGGTTAAACGTTTGCTATGTTAACTTGGTTAATATTAACCAAATTATTTCATAAAAATGAATAGCGGGACATGGATAAGGTGATGTTTTTTTTATTATGAGTTAGTTTTTATTTTTAAAACCTGTAGTCCATGTATCAACGACAAAGTGTTAGCTTTTTTGCAACCCATTATTTAATTCAGGCAAAACATATCCGTGTTGCTAGAATAATTTAATTGAAATGATATTGACTTTTAATGTTGGAAGATCTGAAGCCTCTACTTACTTACATTCATGTATAATCATTTCCCAGTAAAGCGTTTTATTTCCTGTACTGCAATGCTATTTTAATCTTGTTTATTTTACAATCGGTGTGTTTAGTCATATCGGCTTCGTAACAGCTCCGGTGACCCAGCGGTTAGAGCGTCAGCCTTGGATGCGGGAGGTCGCGGGGTCGAACCCCGGCCAAACCACCGCAAATATTTATAAATAATAGTACTAGCAGCCAATGTTCCCTCTAAACTGAGCGAATGAGCGATCGCTCACTAATTTTCGAGACGTCGCTCACATTTTTCGGACCGTCGCTCACAAAAATTCCCGACCAGAAAAAATAATGGCTCTATATAAATTACTCTCACACCTGTCAATTTTAAGTTAAGCCACATCCGGCGACTTCCGCCACGTCTATATCGCTCTTGGTTCGGCAAATTCTTTTGAGTTCTATATTTCAAACTCAAAGTAGTGTAGTTCAGCGCTAAAATTAATTATTTTCTAACCATGTTTAAACGAGAAGCGGAAGAAAGTTCATGTAAGTCAGCGAAAAAACGTTGCATGAAATTTAAAACGGAGTGGTTAACCGAATGTTCTGTGGTAACGGACTTACCACATGGGACCGGACAACACGTGCTCCTTGGTGAAGTTTTTGAATACTCAGAGACAGATGACATGGTATTCTGCAAATTTTGCGTTAAAGCGCGATGTACTAATGAATGGACAACAGGAAAATCATGGAGCGACTGGAAAGTGGATCATTTTAAAAGACATTTGACGCAGAAATATCATACCGAAGCGATCACAAAGCTTAGAAACCAAAGTAGAGGACTGCTGAAAACCATACTAACGGAATCTGTACAAGAACGCGAAATTAGAAAAGAATTCGCTCAAAGAAAGCAGGCAACTCCTGATGAGGTAAAGGTTTTAATAGACAATGTTCTGCTGGCTGTTAAAATTAATTCCTCAATGCTATCAGTCCAGGATATTCATGATCACGTGGCTAAGTATGTTAAAATACCAGAAAGTTGGCGAAGTAAAAACTATGCCTTTGAGTTCATCAATTGTATAAATTCAACCATCAAGACTGGTATACTGAAGGAAATTAAGCAATCAGCTTATCACACTCTGATAGTTGATGAATCCACTGACATTTCGGTGTCAAAAATGTTAATTTTATATATGAAATTTCGGAATGAAAGTGAATCAAATCACAAAACTGTGTTCGCAGGCATTATTAAAATAACATCATGCGACAGTGTGTCGATCTTAGGGGCCATTCGAAAGTTCTATTTGGAAAATGAACTGAATTTGAATCAGATGGTAATGTTTACATCGGATGGCGCATCGGTCATGCTGGGCAAACGAAATGGTGTGGCTGCTCTTTTGCGCCAGTCCATTCCACACTTATCTGAACAACATTGTGTGGCACATCGTGAGGATCTCGGCATAGATGATGCATGGAGATGCATACCCTTGATGAAGGAACTAGAAACTCTATTTCGAACCGTTTATACTATTTTTTCCCGATCGTCTGTTAAGAAGGCAAAATTTGAGGAATTTGCTAATACTGCAGAGGCTGATGCAATTTCTTTTAGACCACTTAACGAGGTCAGATGGCTCTCCAGACATTTTGCAGTGAATGCCTTGGTCAAAAACTATGATATTTTAGTGGAATACTTGCGACAAGTTGTTGAGGAAGACAACGATCCTGTTCACAAATACTGCCTGCAGAAATTAGAAAATCCAGAATATCATGTCGCAATCGTAATATTAAATGAAATTCTAGCTGAGCTAGCAGATCTGTGTAAAATTCTGCAAAGAAGTGTTCTATCAACTGTAGAGGCTTTTCAGTTTGCAAAAGCAAAAGTCATGAAACTCAGGTCACAGTATCTCGGAGATAAGCCACATTTTCATAAAAGTACACTTGATTTGCTTTCCTCATATCATTCTCCAGTGAAAACAGATTCAATTATTATGTTCATTCAGCAGACATGTGACCACATGGACCATCGATTTCCAGATGATGAATTGAAAGATTGGCTAGTGTTCGATAAAGACTGTTTCACTGCATCTGCCAATCTAGACAATTATTCGTTTGGATTTGAGCAAATCAAGAGACTCGCAGAGAAATATTGCGGTCTGCTGAGAAAAGATGGCAAATCCCTACAAGCGGATCTTTGCAACCAATATCCGGAGTTCAAAATACTGATCAAGGAAAAATTACAAATGGGAGCAGTGAAAACATTTTCAGATATAGTTTCATTTACTGCCCAACAGGATCAATTCAAGGAACTATTTTCACTTTTGGACATCTGTGGCACATTCCAGGCCTCAAGTGCTGACTGCGAAAGAGGATTCAGTCTGATGAACAACATAAAGACAAAATCTAGAAATCGTCTCGAAGTTGAACATTTGGACAATTTGATGCGAATTAAATTCTTTTTAAATTCTGGACAGATGGTGGATATTGATGCGGTCTATGACTTATGGAAAACAGAAAAGAACAGAAGAGAAACTGTTTTCAAAGCCGACTAAACAGGCTTCAAGTTGAAAACTTATAATAAATTGTTTGGTATCACTTACGTCTATTTTTCAATACTTAAATTTAAGTTCTTTAAATATACATTGCTGTAATATACAAAATTGTCTAATATGCATTTAATATATACAAAATTGTCTAGTATGCATTTAGTATTTAATATTTTAAATATTTAATATTTATTTTTATTTAATACCAAAATGCACCGCTAAAACTGGTGCTCAGAAATTGCGGGTTTAAAAAATTTGTCGCTCATACGAAAAAAAAATTGCTCACTCTTGGTCACTCCTTAGAGGGAACATTGCTAGCAGCTAAGAGGCTTGATGTTAAGAATAGTCAGCCTAGTGTCAGGATAACGTAACTGAATTGGACATCATGCTACATATCTGCTGCATGATGCCCCTGTGCTAGACATCACTTTAAATTTCCACACTGCAGACATCATTGCGATACGACTGAAACTTTTTAAAGCGCTAAGTTAAAATTCCAAATACACCCACACATATCAGCTTCGTAATTTATTCTTTCTTCGTATCGTACTCTTTGCTGTCAGGATGGATGGTATCACCACTAAATATAATACAAATATAAGTACGTTTCTTAAGCCATCACGTGTTATATTTTTTTATCTTTATACAAACATCGTCATTTTGTGGTGAAAATAGCTTTGAACACACTTTGAATGTGTCTTGTAATAAAATCGAGCTCATTGGGAATGGGTGGGATATGATGTGGCTCAATGAGACCGGGTGGAATTGGATGTGGCTCAATGAGACAGGGTGGGATAGGATGTGGCTCAATGAGACCGTGTGGAATAGGATGTGGCTCAATGAAACCGGGTTGGATATGATGTGGCTCAATGAGACCGTGTGAAATAGGATGTGGTTCAATGAGACAGGGTGGGATAGGATGTGGCTAAATGAGACCGGGTGGGATATGATGTGGCGAAGAGACGTAACAGAATCACATGATAAGATTTGTATTTGCAATGCAAATTAATTATAATTTTATCACCGATACCCTAGATCACACCCTTACTTCCATCTATCACAATCAACTGAAAAATTCACCCCATGCATGCACTCAATGTTCCTCAAAGGGTTTTAAAAAACGGCATTGTGTCTGCACTGATACAATCAAAGCACAGTTCGTCAACAAATAATCACAGGTGGTATGGTTTGTCAACAGGTATGATCAGTGCAAATTCTTTATCATCAGATACAACTGAGGTATGGATTTATTAACATATACGATCGTTGTATGGTGTTACCAGTATATGTCAGTGCTTGGATATAACAAAAATATGATCATTGAATAGATTTATTTGCAAACATGATCAATATGTTGCCAACCAACAAGTGTTATGGTGTATGTTATTGTTATCATATGACACTGAATTTTGGGTGGAAAACCTAATAATGATTATCAACAGATGTAATGTTGCTATCTCGAAACATCACGATGATGTTTCGATGAATAGTTGATGAATAAATTTGTTCTGTCTATGAGTCCTGCCATGCCGAACGATTCCCGGGAACCATGTAGTCCCGTTGATCAAGACCCTTTGATCCATCGACTAAGACCAGTAATGTCCATCAAGCTATTATTACCGAATCTATCATTGTCTACAACATCCGGGTTAAACATCCCCAATGGAATTCAATGACTCCCCTTATCCGCTCAAAATTAAATAACCTAGCTTTATAATACACGAGACATGTTAAATAGTTCGTACCACGAATGCTTTTAAATCCACGGCCAGTGGTCATTGGGTAAACGATCAGCCAAATCCATTGCACCATTATTGCCAACGTTTTGTGCTTGCTTCAGCATATAACCTAAAAAAAGAATAGTATTCGAAATCGCCAAAGTTAAACCCACGCGACATTTGAAGAGTGGTACGCGGCAACTGAACCCAATTTACAGTTATGTTCACATACAACACCAAAGAAACTTTCAGTATACAGTTTCGAGAAAATAAGCAAACGTTATTTCTTGATATTACCATTGCTGCATTCTAGTTTAACTCATTAAATATTTCACCACTCTGAAAACTGTTGAATGCAGTACAGTTTAGTTTCTTGGCATTACGTATGTTTCATAAATAAAATACAATTAATGTTGTGCTTTGTTAATTCCATTCATTGCCTGTGCATATCAATGAACACTAAGGTCCATGAACCTAGATGTCTTTCTGTTTTAAAACAAATTTGAATGGTCCAGAGATTTAGAATTGCACAACAATGATTGTGTGTAACTTGGTTGTCTGATCCATCATAAAAGTGTTTAAGACAGCATCAATGTGTATAGTACAGTCCAGGGACATTTGTATATTTTGGCCTGATTATGCATGCAAACCGCAATGGTTTTGGAGAAAAGATACTAACTTTTAATTACTTCCATACATTCTGTGTGTGTGTGTGTGTGTGTGTGTGTGTGAGAGAGAGAGAGAGAGAGAGATTTGGATTTTAAACGTAGATTTAACCATTTTTTCAGTCATATCATTGTTATGTTTGCAGCGTGGCAGTTTAGAATGATGTCTAGCACTGAAGCATCATGCCGCAGACATGTAGCATGATATCCCACCCAGTTACATTATCCTGACACCAGGATGACCGGTCCTAATAGTAACCTCTTAATGCTAAGTGCAAGCGAGGCAGC